TGCCTGTGCAGACATGGGCCAGCAAAGTGATGTGGGTAGTTGCTGTGGGCTCAGGGAAGCTGTAGTATAGGGAAGGAAAGTACTGGCTGCAGTATGCAGCCATAGGGGCCACCTTGCTGGAGCTCTCCACTGATCAGGCATGGTTTGCCAGTGCAGAACCTATGGTGTGGAACCCCAAGGCACCTGAGATTGCCCTGTAAGCAGGCATGGCCAGGCTGGGGTCTGGAAGAGGCCAGCAGACCAACAGGTGCTCAGATCAGACCAGCCCTATCTGATGAACAAGACCTCCCTGCAGAGATGAGGTCCAACAGTTCCCCTACAGCTAAAGTCTCTTATTGGAGCAAGTTGAGCCCGGTGGGATGGCCATCCCTGGCCATGCTGCACTACAAACACTCTCACACCAAACTCTCTGGGCTCCACATCATCTGGCTTGCTGCCCTACTTCTCTAAGCAGCTCTCCCTGCCACCTTAAGTTTCTGTGGTGACTGATGGGTTCCCTCCTCCCAGGGTTCCAGTGGCCCCTGGTGAGAGCAGGTTGCTCCTTGCCAGTTCAACTCACTCGTTCCCCCAAAGCTGTTGTGGTTCATAAATGAGCTTCAGTGTATGGCAGCCCGTATGGGTTTCCCAGCTTTCTCCCCCTTCAGCCAAGCTTCTGTGCCTTCCCTCAGTCCACTGTCTGTGCCTTCCCTCTGAAGACATGTTAAAAGCACTCCAGTTGTCTCAGTTCCTCTGTGGGAGCTGTTCCACTTGTCTGCGTCTAGTTGGCCATCTTGCCCTCCAGTAAAATTTCTTAACCACTCATGTTTTTACATCACTCTGAAAAACATTTAATGGATCTTCATTTCTTTTCTTATAAAAATTATGCCATTTGACTTTCAAGATCTCCACAATTTGTTTATTTGTATTAACTTTGCTTCTTCAACTGTGTTTCACAGAAGCCTGGATTTTTTCCCATCCTGAGACAAACCCATGGCCAAGTCAACACAGCATTTGGATGCCAACAGCAATATTGTTAAGAGCAGTTCTACTTGACCTTGTCCTTTTTTTGAGTAGTAGTTTTTGGCTTTGTTAGCAAATTTCCCAAACTTGCTTATATATCATGCTAGTATTACCTCTTGAAAGCATGAGTTCTACATGTTTATTATTTAACAAATGAATAGGTACCTCTTTTGGTTTATCTAAGCCATGCTCATATTTCAAAGATTTCCCCCATGTCCATTCACATCATCATCCATTCTAGGAACACATGGCCCATTTACACACTGGCATATAAACTATGTCATGTAAAGTTGTACAACATGGTTCCCTGATTTGGGGATCTGGTATACACACTTGGGTCACCTTAGCCCTGTCTAATATAAGTGTATGAAAGTCTTTATTAAGAGTAAGTGTCATAATACCCCACACCATTTTCATCTTTTACTTGTCCTTCCTGCTTTTTTTTTTTAAGATGGAGTCTCGCTCTGTCGCCCAGTCCGGAATGCAGTGGCATGAGCTTGGCTCACTGCAACTTGCACATCTTGGGTTCAAGCAATTCTCTTGCCTCAGCCTCCAGAATAGCTGGGACTACAGATGCATGCTGTCATACCTGGCTAATTTTTGTATTTTTAGTAGAGACGGGTTTTCACCGTGTTGGTCAGGCTGGTTGTCCTTCCTACTTCTGATTTCATTATAGCATTTCTGTGAGTCAGAGATTTAAAACATACAAACAAGGGCTCTGAGGGGTGAATGCACTATAGTTTCCAGTGTAAGATTAGGGCTATGTTTCTCTTCAATTTCCATTACCATTCCTGATGATATTCGACATTGCAGTGGCCCTTTCCAAAACAAAACATAGGGCTGCTATCCTTCATAGCTAGTTGTGGCATAACATCCAGAGGGCAGGTGAAGCTATAGTGAAGAAGCACTCTTGACTGTGAGGCAGGAGTCCAGGATTTTGGCCCTGGGTCTATTTACGACTAATTATGTGATCCTTAGCAAATCATTAATCCAACAAAACTTATGTGTTTTATTGGAATTGTGCTGAATACTGGGATACATAAATAATAAGTCGCACACTCTGCTTCATGGAGCTCACAGTCTCATGGAGGAGAGTGACAGGAAAATCAGTGACTCAAATAAGGTATAATAAGCGTCAAGAAGCTTGTACTAGATATAGAAGAACAGAAGAAAAACTCTTGGATGAGGCATCTAACATCTGGAGGTATTAGAAGGAGGTCAGAAAGTACTTTTCTAAGAGTGGTGATATCTGAACTGAGACTTGGAAAAACCTGGTTTGTTCATTGCTGTATTGCACACCCCTAGAAGAGTACCGGGTACAGGGTAGGTATTCAGTAAGCATATGTGTACTTATGAGAGTAAGGAGAGAATTTCATGTAGCTAGAAGGACTTAGGCAAAGATGTGGGGTTGTCAGAAACATGACGAGTTCAGGAAACTGTAATTATGGAGCTCTAAAGTGGACAAAGCAGGAGTGGTTGGGCCTAAGGCTGGAAATATAGCTCAAAGTTTGGGCTTTTGAATTTTTTCTTGAAGGCAAGAAAAAAATTGGGGAGCCACTAGAAAATTTAAGCACAAGAGTCACATAATCAGTGTTAGCTTGAGGTGCTAGTTACCAATTTTTGCCTCTCAGCTCCAAATTCACCTTGTATTGCCTCCTCCACAAAAATTGAACTAGGTCCTTTAACATTTTTTCCCTTGCCAGTTGTCATAAGGAGTAGCTTTGTTAGGACAGAGCACTGGAAGGACTGGAGGAGGAAGAGGTTTCTCTTAGGAATTTAGGTATGCTCTTCTTGCTAGGCTCCAGGAACTTGTAGTTTCTCCTATGCTGGGATCCTGTAGCAGACAGCTTTTCCAGCATCTGGTTCATGCAGTGTGTGATCTCTTGAGTGCCCAACTGCTGGAGTACACAGTGGCCATCAGTGCCCCATGGCTAGCAGTGTCCCCTGGCACCTCTCTTGGGAAGCTCTATAGCAGAGTGCTGTCAGTGAGTTACCTTTTAGTGAATGACTTCTCTGGTGTTTCAGAGAGTAAATTTTGCCTGCCTGGCACCTCAGCAATTTCTCTGCTCTCCAGCCAGCTGTGGCCATCCCCTCTGCACCAAGCTCTGGGAAAGGTTTCTTCCTTGAGTGATCTATCTTGGGGGTAGTGGTTGCCCCTTATATCTGTGATTCCTGTATATTTTAGATCTCTCCTGACATATTAGCCAATCCTTCATTACTCCAATCCCATCATTAACAATTCTTTATATTGAACTTCTCTTGTTAAAATTATTACATGCTCAAAAAATTACTATGTGATTTATTTCTCTTTGTTGGACTCTGAAACACACATTGACTAACAGTTGTGTGGATGAGCTGAAGAGAGGATGGTGAAGCTTCAGGCAGGGAGCCTGGTTAGGAGAATATGGCAGCACTTTTGACAACTCTCAGGAGCTTCACTGCCTTGAAAAGTCGTTGCAATAGGGAGGGATAAAAGAGACAGGTATTTAGGAGATAGGATATACAGGATTTGGTAACTACTGAAGGAGGAGGAGGAAGAGAAAGAGGAGGTGGAAAAGAAGGTGGAGAAGGAGGAGGAGGTGAAGGACAGAAAAGTCTAGAGTCACTATCAGTTTTCAAGCTTGGATGACTGGGTGCACAGTGGTGGTACCCTTGTAGAAATGGAAAACACTGAAGGAGGGTCAGGTCAAATTGTCCCCCCAGGTTCCCATTTACTTTCAGGAGTTCCATGCACTTCTGAATCACAAAAAGTTGAAATCATAGACTCTCTGAGTTGAAGAGGCACCAAAGCCCAGCTTTTCTGTCTTTGGGCAATAAGGGCCATTTGTTCACATCAAAGAAGTGGGAGAAAGGTCCATTCTATCTTAACATTCCTCAATTCTAACATTTTGTAAAGTTCTTTTCCATTTTTAAATCTCTTGATATCGTAGGCCTTCTTCAATTATACATTCCAGAGCTCATCCATACCCCCAACTCTTCCAATTCAATACATTTCCTCTTAAGTGAAACCTACATGCCTCCTAATGTGAAATGGCAGCCCAACATATAACCTACCAAGTGCTGAAGAATGTTGGTCTTAACATAGACTATAGTCTTGTTTCAGGAATCTCTCACTTGGTTTTATTAGTATGGGCTAAACAGGGCTTCTGTTTCATAAATGAAAGTCTCCAGTTACATGAATGAAAGGCTCCAGGGCAGAATTTCAGAGGGTTTCTATGAGTGTCACTTGGAACCAAGCACAGGCAACTGCACATCCCTGTTTGGGTTTGGAATTGGAGGTGGTGGGTTTGGGATGTGGTTACTCTTGTTTGGAATGCATTCTCCTCCTCTTAACAGGTTAATTCTTCCTTTGGAAATCTGCTCAACCTTCCCTGACCACCCTGTCAGTTCCATTGTACATACCCTTTCAGAGCATCACTTACCTATCGTTGCTGTGATTCTTTGAGTAACATGTGCCTCTCCCACTAAACTCCACGGCAGGACTGGTCAGTTTTTGCTCACCACACCATCCCAGTGCCTACCCAGTGCCTGGAACTTAGTGTTCAATAGATACTAGTAAAAATGAATGCATGATAGCAGTCTGTGAGGTGCTAGGTATAAAAGAATGTGTGATAGCAGTCTGTGAAGTGCTAGGTATGCCCATTGGTCCACCTGACAATTCTCCCAAAGTTATTTTTATATCCCTGTTGCTGATGAAAAAGCAGAGGTGTGGCTCCTCCGTGGAGGGCTCTGATTCCAGACTCTTGAGTCTCCCTATCACTGTCCTCAGGGTAAGAAACCGTATAATAGTATTCTGGGTACAAAATACGCACACAAATTGGCCAGAAAGCCATAATCCCCAACAGTCACGTTCTCTTGAAGATCTTGCCTTTCCCTTGCTCTGTGAACAAGGGGAGGCTCAGAAGCCAGGGGGCGTCCTGCAGGGCTCCTCGCTCAGACCAGTGCAGCCCTCGGGGCGCTCAGAGCCCTGCCCTCCCTCCACTTCCCCTCGGGGTGGCTACCTCAGGCTCGCTCCCAAACCGGCTGTCTGGCCTCAGGCGAGAGGTGTGGGGAGAGACCCAGTGCCTCACACCCTTCTTCTCAAGAAGAGCAGTAGAACCTCGGCGGGGAGGGCAGCAGCGGCCAGGGGTGACAGCAGCGGCGGGGCACGACCGCCGTTAGCGTTAGACGTTAGCGCTCCGCCTTCGCCTGGCAAACCCTGCGCGGGCTCCGCTGCCAGATCACCGGGGTAGGGCCGGGCGCGACGTCACAGAGCCGCCCCGCCCCTCCTGCAGCGGCGGGTTCCCAGGGTCCCGCTAGGGCGCTGCTGGGGGAAGCTGAAAGCTGCTTTTGGCTTTGCTGGTGGTGGAAGGACCAGACGGCCTGGAGGGTTAAGGACAGGGCTGGGGGCGTTAGGAAACCCGGGCTGGGGGCGTTGGGGATGGGACAGAATGTGTAGCCATTGACCGTGCGCTTTTGTAGGTGAGAGAACGGAAGTGGAGCTTGATCTTTCGGCTTGTGGAAAGTGGACAGGTGAGAAGTCCTGGGGAATCATAGTAACACTTCTTACAATGCGTTCTTTGGTGCCAGGAATTGTTCTAAGTGCATTACACACATGAACTCATTTCATCCTTACTGTCACCCCATGAGGCAAGTACTATTGTTATCCCCATTTTTACAGATGAGGGAACTGAGCCCAGAGAGGTTAAACTTGTCCAAGATGTCAGCAAGTGATAGAGTCAGGATTTGAACCTGGGTTGCATGGTCCCAGATACCTCACTCTTGACCTTATAATGCTAAGAAAGAGGGATGGAGCGGATAGGAGCAGAGCCTGAGATGCCTGGGGACAACAGGGAAAGATAGACAATGTTTACTGGATAGAATGTGGTCACTGTGCCAGGGCACTTTTACAAACATGATGACATCAAAGTCTCACGGTAAACTCTGAAGGTAGATACTACCTTTGCTTTGGAAATAAAAAAC